AGGGGGGGGGCTGTTTTCGCGAAAAATGGGCCATTTTTGCAAGGTTTACAGAGTGCAAAAACCTTTAAAAAAAAAGGGGGGGGGCTGTTTTCGCGAAAAATGGGCCATTTTTGCAAGGTTTACAGAGTGCAAAAACCTTTAAAAAAAAAATACCTTCCTCTTCAAAACCTTGCTGCGTCTTATACCCCGGTGCGTCTTATATGCCAAAAAATATGGTAGATCAACCCTCGCCTCGAGTCTCTCCATCAATCCAGTTTAAGGGCCTCCAGAATCCCTCACAAGGAAGATGCCAGCTGCTGAAGCACCTCCTGCATTCTTTCTTGCCCTGCGTGCTGCTGGGAATAGAAGCAACATCTTGAATAATGGGAACGTTACAAATTGAACGAGGTCACGACTTTTCTTTATTGAAGCTTTCCTTAAAAACCCGTAACTAAAGACCAAGGGGAAGAAAGTAACAACACAAGATTCATCCTAATGACATGTTTACATATATACACATACATATTTATATATTCAACCTTGCGCCTTTCGGCTTTTAAGGACAGAGGGAGCATATCTTGGCAATAGCACTTAAGACTTATACACCGCTTCACAGGGCTTTTGCAGTCCTCTCTAAGCCCTTTACGGGCTCAGCCTGTTGCCCCCAACCATCTTGAGTCCTCATTTTACCGACCTCGGAAGGACGGAAGGCTGAGTCAACCTTGAGCCGGTCAGCATCGAACTGCTGGCAGTGGGCAGAGCCAGTCTGCAATACTGTATTCTAACCACTGCGCCACCAGGGCTCGTAAAACTTCCGTTGCAAGTTGCTCGTTCCTGATTACGCCCTGGCAGGACTGGAACACAGGACATCGGAGTCTTAAGGAGCCCGGCGAAGCATATCAAGAGTGCTGGTGATGGAGTTTCTTCCGCGCCGAGACTACTTAACAGCTTTCTTGGGGAAGTATAAGGTCTTGTGAATCAGATCCTTGACGGCTGAAACGTCATCTTTGGCTATGAAAACAAAGAAGATACAGTGTTACTTAAGAGGGGCGCGGTGCATAACACCCAGAAAAAGCACCGGTAGTCCCCAACTTACAACAATTCATTTAGAGACCCTTACTAACTTAACTGCAGTGATTCACTTAACAATCGTCGCGAGCAAAGGGGGTAAAATGGGACGAATCTCACTTAGCAGGAGACATTTTTTAGGGTCAATTATGGTCATGAGTAATAACCATCTCTGCACAAATAGAGAAGATGGGATGGGATATGGGGGGGGGGGTGGATTCGCAATTTGCAGGCTCCTCGTGGCTTCAGATGAACCGATTCCCATCGATTTCTCCAGGGTATGGGAATCCATGCTTAGATCAATTCAGAAATCTAGTAGATCACTGCCCCACGAGGCCCCCGTGTTTCCCATTTAAAAATACAGAATCTTCACAGTGCATTTATCTATCAAAAGTGAATGATTGACAAAAAGCGCCTCTTTTGACGATTAGGAGCAGTCACGTCTTAAATAATTAAATTATTAAAATGTCCCTTCCTCCACAAATAACCTTGCCTTACAAAGGTTGAAAATTCAGCTGTTTTCAAGGGGAATAAATGAAGAGGTAAGATGTTAACGGTCCAGGAAACCAGCCTTCAAGAACAAGGCCAGGATGTTGATACTCTTCCATTAGATCTTTGATGGTTGATATTACGCCTCTTGTTATGGCCCGCCAGCTGCCAGCAGAGCTGGCAGAAGACTTGGATGATGAGGAGGTTGGGGAGGAACTTGGGCCAGTTCTGGAGTCTGGGGAAGGCTCTGATGGACGCTCAGTGTCGGACGCAGAGATAGAGCCAGGGTCGTCCGGTATTTCCCAGCCACCGGAGAGGCAGCTGCCTTTGGAGGCTGAGATGAGTGAGGAGGAAGAACAGCTGGGGCCTGTTCCAGATGCGTGTATGTGCAGGGCTGTTAGAAGAACAGCGGAGGACAAGGAGTAAACTCGGGAAGCAAAGCTGGGGAATAAATGGAAGGAAAGGGGAGTGGTGGTCGTAGGAGACAACAGTTCGTATTTCTGAAGATTTTGCTCATGGTGTTTCGTGCCACAAAGACTGCAATTATCGCAAGGAACTGATAAGATCTGTTACTGCCGTTAACTCTTTGAGCTATTGCCTGGACTTTTCGGTAGGTGAATGTAATTAATTCACAAGGGGTAAATAAAGAGGGTTTTTTAATGACAAGGAGTCGGATTCCTGCTTCTGCTAAGGCTGGTTCAGAGCAAGCTCTAATAATACGTGGAATAATCCTAAATCTTACTTCCCGCTCTCTGGAAGGCAGATACCGGATAGTTGCTCTGTGAAACCCTGGTAGAAACAACCGCAAAGAAGCTTACCAACCTACCTATATCCAGCCGAAGCAGGAGTTCTCCGCATTCAGAATTATTCTCGAGCGTCTTCAGCAAATTGGTGGACTCCATCCTTTCTAACTGCACGTCCCAATAGATGTAGATCTTCTGGTTGAAACTGACGTAGACCAGGCAAGGGCTGTTATGGTCTCCTTTACAAGAATAGAAGCCTGGAGGGAGATGACGCCATTGTTAAGTCAAGAAGAGGACCGCCAGAAAACATCCAACCACTTTAAATCCCTAAACATCCTGTTTAACGACATTTCAAATCCTGAGAGGCCACTGGCAAATGTGTACCGTATTTTGGGAGTATAAGATGCACTTTTTTCCCTCATAAAAGAGGGTGAAAATTTGAGTGAGTCTTATACACCAAATGTAGTCCCGCCCACCCACCGACCGCCACCCTTTGGCCTCTTACCTCCCAGCAATTTGCCTCCTTGCAGCAAACAGCCTGTTTCAGTTTCAGCACAGCCTTATTAGCACAAGCAACTGATTGTCGGTTGGATCGGCCTCCCAACAATCAGCTGCTTCAGGCTGCAGCGATTGCCATAGCCTATTGCTGCCTGTGGGTGCCTCGTTTTCGGCCTCAGCATCCCGTTTTCAGCCTCCG